GCCATACTGGCAAATAGGACCAAGAACGGCCATTGTGTGCCAGATCTGGATAATCCACCTGAACAAACTCAGTTTTGGCAGTGGCTAACAGTGACTACCAACGAATGTAAAAACAGGGCTAATTCAAGGACACCCTTTCCAAGGTATCAGCAGTCTTTAGCTCAGGGATTTTTCTAAACTGAATACTCTTTTATGTTTAATGCAAACTTCTATTGCACTCATTACTTGTGCTGGATTTGAGACACTGTAAACTTAAGTATTGGGAGTCAAAAAGCTGCCAATGGATTTCAAAATCTGCTATGTGAAGATGTACTTATTTTTTAGTTGCATCGTCTCAAGCATGATCTGCCTACACATGAAAAAAGTGAGTAGCTAGCTATACGCTATTCTCTGCACCAGCTGTAATTTTAGAGGGGACTGCCATAGTCGTCCTCAGTTCCCTCACCTGTATACCGAATTCACCTTTTTGCTCCTCATACAGAAGATAATTACATCTTAAGCATGCTGTAACGTGGTGACCTTTTTGAAAGCCCTCTTTAAATCCAAATAATCTATCTGATCACCTTGTTCCCATATTCACCAGCTCCTCTGAAGAACATGAATTACACCTAAACCAGCCAAATGGATGCACGATTTCTGTATCATATTTGCTTACAGCACTATTTATCAAGACCTGTCACCTATTATTCAGGTAGATAGTTTCAAGCAAGATGTTTAAGCTGCAGATAATAATTACATAGTTTCAAATCTGAATTCCATCGGCACTCTCACAAGACTACTCTCTGTGTGAATAAACTTTTGTTTATTCTAATCAACTTGTCCAAGAAGGTTTTCATTCACATTTTCTGTGCAAGAAGAGCTCAAGGCTGGCACCTTTACCTTCCCTTGTGATGAACGCAGATGTGAAGAATCACATTCTAAATCCAACTGAAATCCCCATTTTAATATCATTTCAAAATAATGTTTTTTTTCTATTAAGTTGCTGTGGGCATAGTTGTTTGAGTAGTCCTGTGCTGTTGGTGATATATTCCAGCATTAATGAAGTACCAATTACAAAGAAATCCTTTTCAGAATGTAGCAATAAGAACAAGGACTTATGAAGACATACCATAACTCACTATGCATCTGTCTAAAGTTATCTTTTTAGGTTATTGCAGGTTTCTTTGCACTTTTTCTTTCTGAAATAACAAAGTATGTTGGTATGCCGAGTAACCAAACATAAGGTCAGATAACTGTATCTCTGGCAAAACCAAACTTCATGAGTCCCTGGTGTGAAATTAGAGACAAAAGCTAAAATTGGTCCAAATTAGCTTCTCCTTTTCTATTATATGACAAAACTTTGCAGATAAGGGTAATTAAATTTTCAATTTCATACTATGACTTAATAGTCTGATTTGTTTTAAATTATCCATCAAACTTCTCAGTTAAAGAATACACTGCTAGAAATCTGAAACTCTGCTTTTAGTTTCCTGACAGTCTCTAGGTTCCATTACAATCTTGATTTTGAGAGTTGCGGGGCCTTTGTTGTAATAAAAAAATTCGTTCGTTGGAATTACAAATGCTACCAAACTTCAAAATAACTTCAAATCCTGCAAATGTCATTTTATCACAACAGAACTACAGAAAATACATCGAAGTATTTGCAGGCGTGCCCCCACATTTTTAGGGAGTCTTACATGGCAAAGTAAGTTATTACCTGTACTCAGAAATAGAATGGGGATCATTAACTTCCATCATTTCTATTTGGCTTACATAAAAGAAAACACAAAGATTAAAACCATTCTGACCATTCAGAAGACAGCTAAACAGGGTTGGTTTGGAGTTTGTTTTTCAATGGCTCATCACAGAATTATTTAAAAAGGTATATATTTAACAGAGCACAATTCATTGCAAGGAACTTGGAGAAAATGTGGTAGGAAGGATAAAACGCAAATATTAGATAAAATTTAAAAAAGGAGGTTATTATTAAAGTCAAACTTTCACCAAAATATTTTTGGTGCTGCAGTGGGCAGCCTTTCAAAACTCATGTATGACAATCCTTATATGGTCATCTAAAAAAAACCAAGGTATGTGCTACATACTGTATAGAGCTGATGGAAGTACAAGTAGCATATGGGAGGAAAAAGACCATAATGATGCTTCTTTCTTGAAATAAAGAACTTTCACCAGACTTGACCCAAGTAATCCAAATCTCGTTGTGACGTGCAGCTGTCTGAGACAGCGATGACAGGGAAGAACCCTTTTTCAGAAAGCTGGTGATGCCATAGACCAATTTGCTAGAACTGGGAAACGACTTTGTCCAGTAGCAGAGTTCTGCCTCCAGAACTTCACACAGTATTTCTACATGAGTCCAACTATAAACCACTTTGGATCAGCCTGTTAATTTTTTGTGTAAGACTTCCTACAATAATGAAGCTAAAAACATGTAAAGAAGATCTCTCAAATCGAAAACCGCAACAATAGCTCAGTGGAAGATTGTGAATGTAACATCTATGTAAGGCTCCTCTGCAATGCTGAAATGAAATTGTCTTTAGTTCTTTATTATTCTTTTGGTTGCTACGGCCACATAAGGTGGTAATATACCTCAGATGCATGCAAATCTCACTGGGTAAAGATCATGTTCTATTTGTTTGAGAGCTTTAAACTTTTTCTTTCCACTGATTTCAATACTTCCAGAGGTTTGAAATCTTACTGCCATGAAAAGTTTTGATTAGTTGGATGCAGCACAGCTACATCTACCACAACATCTAACCTAATTTAGCCTTCAGTCCTCCGAATCTCTTTATATTTCTATTTTCAGATCAACAGTTGAGAATACTAAAAAGACAAATCACAGTAGTTTATCTGTAGTGCCTTTTGTTTTGACGTGCTATAGATTGGAAGCAATTCTGCCTGTCATAACACACTGCAGAATAGACAGAAGCTGGAGTTCACCAATGAATCATTCACTTCTGAAGATAATTTGACCATCTTTAGTTAAGTATCTTGCACAATTTCAGTTCCAGCCTAGTGCTGTAGTATTCTGGTAAGTTAATGGAAGGGTAATGAAGTTTAGTAGATTTTTTTGCCTACAAAATATATTCATACTGGTACTAGTCCTCTGCAAGCTCTTGCACTCCACTTCTAGGGTTTGAAGACAACAGTGATGACAATCAATACTCTTCCACTGTCAGCATGCTCATTCTTAAGAAGCCATCCAACAAGTGAAAAAATCCAAGTTCTAGGAATGCGATAGGAGAAAAAGAAGGTCTGCGTTCAAACACAGCTTCAAGGTGGGCTGCACAGTGCAGAACCATAATGAACATACGCATTTTAAAGAAGGGGAAAAAAAAAAAACTTTCTTCCTCAGAGAGGGGATTTACAGAATTCTCCTTTGAATATTCCCATTATCTTAGTAGCAGAAAAAAAAAGAAAAGAAACTGTGCTCTGGAACCGATTCTAGTTAAGAGAAGTATAGATTAACATACAGCAATTTCATATATTTGGTGTCCAATGATAATGATAATAGGCATCAGTTTCCCTGGACTACATAATTTCAAAACCCAAGCTGTGCATCTGTTGCATTAGATATCCAAGCACTTTTGAATTTTAATGTTAACAATCTTACAAAGCTTGAAGGCCCTTACATTAAGTTCTTGTACCTGCAAAACAAGAAAAAACCCAAACCAATGAATGGCTTTTCTTATTACTGCCTCCTTTGTAAGATCAGAATATTAAGCTTAGCTGGAATACAAAGACGCAGCAGATTCTGGATTGTTACAGTTCCAGTTTGGTCACTTTGGCATTCTTGGAGGACTTTAGGGTTCACTGCACAATGCAGCATTCAAAACCCAATAGGAAGATGAAGTGGAATAACAGTTCTTGTCTGTGATACAAAAATAGTGCCATCAGCCAACTGGCTGATTACACTGAAAATGGGTCAAAACCAATGATTTCAACAAATGTTAGCCAGCATATAGGGCAGCTATATATATGTATGAAACAAGAGTATAATAAAATCTGAGCAACACAAGGTAGTTTTATGCTTTCTTTCAGCTAGAATTAGTGCACAGCACTTACACTATTCTTTAGATCTATGTAGAGAGAGCTACTTTTGTAGCTGCTTCTTTTGTGACCGTTGGGATAAAACTCTTGGCTGCATACAGAAAAGGTGTATCCTCCCTCAGCTTGTAATAGATTTCACTGATCATGTGTCAGTATCTCTGTATGTTAAGTCAAAGCGAAAAGTGAATAAATTAAAAGCCATATGTGACCAAGAATTCCAATCATTAATTGAGTTTAGGCTACTAACAGAGTTTAGGCTGTATATTTGACGTAAAGGCTGAGAAGCTATCACCACACCTCGTTAGGCAACAGGAAACCTCAATGCAGATAAACATGTAACTAGCATTAAAAAAACAGAACTATAATTATATAATTAATATATGCTGATGCTGTGCGAGGCACTCAACACTTCTCACTTAAACTGTGAATATTTAACTGTCTGAGTTTCACTTCTGAAGAACATCACAGAGAAAACCTTGCAACCTAAATATTTTGGACTAAATCTCACCCACATCCAACACAAACCCCAGTGTTCTCTACTCCAGTCATGAATGCTTCCGGAATATTAATCTGGGCAGAGACGAGGTTATAAAATATACACTTTAACATAACAGTCCAAGTTATATTCAAATACTAAGTTTTATATATCATACTTTGTTCTTCAATTGACAAACACTTCTTGTATAGAAAGAAAAAAAACCCCAGGTTCTATTGAAAGAATTCGTATATGCAAGGCTGGTAAGTTTAAACAAGACAGTGAATATAAAATTATCATCAAAGATCAACTATGATCTTTAAAGTTGCAGCTGATTTTAAACATTCCTTTTGCTAGATTCCTCATACAGCAATTTTTTAGAAGTATGAACACTCCAAATCTCCTCTATTTATAGGGAAGTTTGTAACAGGTTCAATTGGAGACATCAAAAACATTTTAAATAGACATCACAAGATGCATCTGTAGTTTAAAGGTCAAATTTATTAGGAGATTAAGAGATGTGTTATACATGGACTATAAATATGGCACAGCTGACTTCATTCACAGTCAGAGCCAATGCCAACCTATTTTGTAGACACCCTTGTTCTTTTGTTCCAAGAAAAGTTTGCACCATAAGACTTGGATTTAGGTTTTGGAATCTTCTTCTCTTCAACGTCATAGCTCCAGCCTGGAGGTTACAAGGGAAATGGTGGGGGGAGACAAGAAACAAAGAGAATTCTGAATACTTTTAGCATACGATATATATGTATGTAAATTTTACATACAATGTAAATCTTTAAACTTCAGTCTTTCTCTCCATGTTGGCATTCACTAGTTTATTCCTTTCTAGCTGGCAGCAGAGAATATTGAAATGCCATAGGTGTGACATATGCCCGTTCTCTCAGTTGGTAAGAGTTCACCATACTACATATCTCCATGTTCTTTACTCCTGCAAAAAACTTGACAGTCATCAGTGAAAATCTCAAGAGGTAACACTGACTGTCCTGCCAGTTCATGGTCCCACAAGTACATAGCAGCATGGAAGCACTAAGGCTCGGTGTATGCTTGGACAGGAAATGAAAATAAAGATAAGGAAACGTAGAAAAAACATAGAATCACAGAATAGTTTGGACTGGAAAGAACCTTAAGATCATCTAGTTTCAACCTCCTGCCATTGGCAGGGATGCCTCATACTAGACAATACTGTCTAAGGCTCTGTCCAACCTGGCCTTGTACACTGCCAGGGATGGAGCATTTACCACTTCTTTGGGCAACCTGTGCCAGCACTGCACGACCTTCACCATAAGGCTGGGAGAGAATGGAGACCTTGGAAAGCTAGAGAAAATATAAGGGTGGGAGGACCAAAGAAAGGAAAAGCAAAGAAAAAACTTCAGCATTAGAAAGGAGTTTAATACTTAACATTTTTAAAAGAACATGAAAGATTAGGAGTAAAAGGAAAGAGAATGAAGTGATAGAAGACAAGTAAATTATGTGATAGTTAAGCAAGAGAAATGCTAAAAAATGTCAGGAAGGAGGAGGTGGAGACATTAGTGTTTATGTAAATCAAAATGCAAATTGGTTGCAGCCTCCAGGTGCCTGGAAAGATGCCAGGGCAGCACTCAGTATTCCAAAGTTTGGTCTCTTTAGCTGCAACATTTCACTCAAAGTTGAGATACTTGAGTTGAAGTTAGAAGTGGTTAAGTACACAGTTTTAACTGGTACTGATAAGATGGTACTTTTCCTCCTTAGTTTTAAAACAAAAGCTTAAAAAGTCCTAAAAGGTTTAACATATATCTAAATTTTTACATTTAAAATGTTCACAGAAAATACTCAAGATACAGCTACACTTCAAAACATATTTCACAAGATACACAATTTTGTGTACTCACATGTCACACAAAAATCACCTTCACGTTTATTAGGCTGAACCAACATTAATTTACAAGTTAACTATTGTCCATAAAAAGTACTGGAACAGAGGTTTTACAAACATATTCTTTCCATCTGTGAGAGCACTGGCTTTTGCCTCCTGTCCTGATTAAAAATGTAAGCTTGAGTAAACAGCCAGAACTACATCCAGGGACAGACTTTGTTATTGCAACATTCAGTATTATAACACCTAACATCGAGGTATTTGGCTGCTGGAATGTAATCTACAGCATCAGGTTATTGCTTCATCTTTTTATATACTAGATCAAGAGGAGCTGAGTGCCTCCAAAAGAGATTTGCAACTGCCAGCAGAATGACTTGGGCTGCAATACCTGTCCAAAATACACAGTGTTAGTTACATCTAACTTTGGATTGCAAGAGGTCACCGTATGTGATAGGTTTCAAACTCTGGAACAATCTACTTCTGTGAGGCACCTTAGCTTGTTCATGACAGACAGCAGAGGTCACTTTGATAAAAATACGGCAATGGTGAGGGAGGTTATTGTTGCCAGAACCCTGCCATACAAACCAAGTAGACAGAAAGCAGATTTCACCGTCTCTGGAAGAATACCCTCACCACCAGACTGAATGGCAAGTATTAAACCTCTCTATCCTTGCATGTTTTTAAAAACTGCCTTAGTGATACCAGACAGCACAAAAAAGAATTTAGGTTGACAAGCTAAACTCTTTATTTCACCCAGTTACAGGTGTTTCCTCCTTGCCTCAACTTCAGGCCATTCTCAGCTGTCGCATTTTGGACAGAGATCTCTTCCTTTACTGTATTCAGTGCTGTTAATCCAACATCTGAAAACACATGGGACAGGCAGAAAGACAGCTTGCCTCAGGTGCCTAAAATACTTAGGTGAGAAAGAATCTTGGTTTTCCCAATTATAGCAGAAGCCCTGCGATATCTAGGATTTGCAGAAATTAAATTTTAGGTTCTCAAGGAACTTTGTAATGGAAAACTTGGTTCACATGGGAAGGGCAGAGAGGTAAATACGTGTGTTCCTAGACTTAGACGTTTCAGTAATACCTCAGTTTAGAAGGTCCATTGTAAATGTGTAGCTATGTTTCTCATTCCTTCTTAAAAGCAGAGGTAAATAGTGAGAAACTGTATTTTCAGCTACATCTGATACTGAAGCTTTTACTACAGAAAATACTAGGCACATATCATACACATAAAAACAAGCCACCTTAAATAAAATAGAATAACAAGCCTTAAATTCAGTTGGCAGAATTTCTTTCTAGTTTTCCTGCTCAATGGAGATTCATTACTCAGTGAAGGCCTAGACTTTCTACACTGAACAAATCAAGTTATTTTACTTGAATCTTCATTTCAAAAGACAAAATATAACATGCCCACAGATATGACATAACTAGCTCATTAATATAGTGCTATATATAGGCCAGGATTCAGTCTTTTTCCCCTTTTAGGCTGAATTTCTGAAGAAAAGTTAAAGCAACACCAGATTCTTCCACATTTTATATCTGTTCATAAAACATTATAAAATACTAATAAAATGGCAAATAATTGGTGCAATTTTGGTATCAAATATCATATATGCATTAATATCAATGCATATATGAAGAACCTATTAATTTCTAAAATTGAATACGATTTCTTTTTCAAAAAAATTAAGACTATAAAATTAAAAAAAGATCCACTCAAAGAGGAATAGAGGAATTCAGTACTAGCCTCTACCAATAAAAAGTGCAAATACATTGCACATTAACTGGCTTAGCTTCTTATTTGTATTAAGTTAATGGACTTCCCTTGTTTTTGGGATGTACAACATAAGCCATCTAAGAACTTTACACAATTTGATCTGACCAGGAACCTACTGTCTAGCAGTTGAAAGCTGCAGACCACAAGGAAGACTTCTGAAGAAGCTTACATTCCATCTGCATCATTTCTGGCTTTAACTCAGTGAAACTGATCTTCCTCACATCCACAAGCACTAAACATCAGTCCTAGGCCTTTAAGGAAAATTTAATTGATTAAAAAAAAAAACCAAAACAAACCCCCCAAAATGAAGAGAAAAATTCATACCATCATATAAAAGGACTGATGAATATTCAGAAGGCTGAAATTATGGATACTGCTTGTGGTACTATAATTCTGTGAGAAAATACAAGTCTGAATAACCTCATATGTTTACAGATAGAGTTCTTCTGATACATCATTAGCATTAAAGATACCAAGTAATTATACTGGCTTTTCTACCACCTTTTTCTCAACTATGAACAACCATCAAGTGTTAAGTGTTTAGACTTTAGTAATGTACATGGGGAAAGTTACATATAATTTCCTCAATCTACAACTTCTGCAAGGGGGCATTGGAGGGGGAGGTGCTGATCTTCTCTTTCAGTTCAAACTGGACATTAGGAAAAGGTTCTTCACTGAGAGGACAGTCAGTCCCTGGAACAGGCTCCCCAAGGAAGCGGTCACAGCACCAACACTATCAGACTTCAAGAAGTGTCTGGATGATGCTCCTAGTCATACGACTTAGTTTTAGGTAATCCAGCAAAGAGCAGTGAGAGTTGGACTTGATGGTCCTTACAGGTTCCTTCCAACCTGAGGTTCTATGATTCTATTATACAAGCAACATGGCCAAAACTGAAGTCCAACATGCTTACTTGGTAGTCACCTAATTTTAGTTTTTTGTGATTACTGCTCATTATTATTCACAAGGGTTCTGACAGTCTTTCCTTAACCAGAATTCAGATGTTCATATTAAGCCTTCAGACAGAAATCCCACTGCCATGTAGCCAGGACCCCTAGCATAGGATACTCTTAAAGTATTAATACTAATTTTTCCCCAAGACCCGAGCAGGCTCAGTTCTCATTCAAATAACAGGTACCGGCAAAAGCATCACAACAGTACTGCCACGAAACTGGATCATTTTCCAGAAAGTAGAAAGTCTAGGCTCAATGCCTTTAGCACCACAGGAAATATCCCCCTCACCCTTTAGTCTTCCTCCTCCTCAAGTGGAGGACTAATGGTCTGCCAATATTGTGAAATAGAGGGAAGGTGCTTTATTCTTGACTTTCACTGTTGTTAGATCAAGACTGTCTATGGAAAGGTGAAACCGTCATACCCAATACATACCATTTTTTTCAGCAAAAGCAATGGCATCTGCTTTAGTAGAGAAAGTAAGAACCATGTTGGATAAAGGATCAGCTCTGTAAGAAATCAAGATGACAAATTTTAAGCACATCTGAAATACAAAATAATTATATCTGTATCTCAAAAGCTAGTGAAACACTCTATTACACCACTTTTTGTAATACACCACCTCACCAGCCATTCAGAATTTTTACTTATTTCCAGGATTAACACATTCTGAAGAGTATTGTTTCAGTCTTCCAAGCTTACTCTTTTCCCAGTTCCTTGCAGAAATTAGTATTTTTAGGTTTTTATTAGACAAACATGTCTAACCACCTGCTAAGGTTATAGTAAGTGCTCTGCAATAATCTTTTCATTTTAAAGCTGTCTCCTTTTGGATGACCAGGAGGTTTAAGTTAATGTTGAAGATTTAAAGGAGACCTGGAGTCTGTAGAGCAGCTAGGGGAAGAATAGTCTTAAACACCAGAATATCAAAGTGATCAGAGTAGGAATTAATCAGAGACTGAAAAGTACATAAAAAGCTTCAAGAGTTCAGCTTTGTCTGAGGTCACACGACCTCCACAGATCATTGCAGTACAGCAAGCACATCGAAGGCCACCACTGAAAATGAAGCTCAGAAATGAAAACTGCTAGCTAACTAAATACACAGTGGTCAGTTTTAGATGATTAGTTATTCCTCAACTGCATAACTGAAAGGAATCAAACAGCTTTGTGTGAAAAAAAAAAAAAAGGAGAAAATCTCAGTTAAAAAACCAAACTGCCGTTTTGTTGCTATAAAGGCTCACTTTAAGAATAGCGACAAAAGACGAAAAAAGGGTTTCTAAAAATGAATCTACAAAATTTCAGACAAATAAAGATATTGGCTATAGCAGCACAATGACTAGATAATGCTTCCTTGAGACAACACTGCATAGGAGTCTGGGGGACAACCGGGACAAGAAGACCAAATTGCAACAAACTATTGAAGGAGCTGCCTCTCAACTGTTCTCTCTTTGAAGCTAGAAAGGTAAATGAAAAGAAAAAGCAACCAAAGATACACTGAACTCTCTACAATAAAGGACAAAGCCTGTGACTGGTGAAGGGGGAGTGGAAGGGGGAATCTAGCTTCCAGCAAAGACAACAACGTTATTTTATCTGATGTACACATGGAAAAATGGAGTTCACTATATATCCAATATATTCCCCAATAAAAAAGAAAAATCAAAAAAGGATAAAGGCAGAAATTACACCTTCGTAAGCTACTAAGAGGTCTCTCTTACAGACGTTTACAGATCTTTCTTATAAATGCAGTGAGGAGAACCAAAAACGAGGAATTACTCCATGATGCAAGCACTGGAGAACCAAGTGAACCAAATATATTGCAATACTGTGACAACTTCTGCTTATCATTCTTCTCTTCCACGACTGGGGGTGGAAAAATCTTCTCAACACTATTAAGACAATCATAGAATCACAGAATAGTTAGGGTTGGAAAGGACCTTAACATCGTCTAGTTCCAACCCCCCTGCCATGGGCAAGGACACCTCACATTAAACCATGTCACCCAAGGCTCTGTCCTACCTGGCCTTGAACTCCACCAGGGATGGAGCATTCACAACCTCCCTGGGCAACCCATTCCAGTGCCTCACTACCCTTACAGTAAAGAACTTCTTCCTTATATCCAATCTAAACTTCCCCTGTTGAAGTTTTAACCTGTTAAAAAGAACGAAGAAGTTTAAGTCTGAAATGTACTGACACATGAATGCCTGTGCAGTACTGCAAGTTTGGCAAAAACTTTCCAGAATAGAGGCAGTCTGGAAATGAGGAATGTGCATAAATTATTTGCTCTGTTTTCATGGGGGATCATCTCTCATCCAATCTAAATGCAGCTTTTTTTTTTATTTCTTCCCATAAATGAGCTATCCATGTGTTTAAACCTGTGATAACCTGTGAGCAAACTGGAGCTCAGGATGGCCAGCATGATGTCCCAACAGTGTCAGCAACAGCAGTGCTGCAGGATTTCTTATGCATGCCCTAAACTTTCTCAGTCACTACAAACTCAGATTCCCCATTTTGTTCTGAGATCTTCTACAATGAAAACCATGCATTTCCCCTGTTTCTTTGTTCACAGCTTTATAGTAAGAGATGTGCTCAAGAACTATCCATATGCATTCCTGTAATGAAACTTCCACATTACAAAAAAACAAAAAATCCAACAAGCCAAACCAAAACCAAACAAACCACAGGTCCATTTTAGTTAGATCTTCAACTGAATAATTTTCACCTGGAAAAAAATACATACAAGAAACAGCAAACTCAAGAAAAAAAAGCCAACAAGACTCTAAAACGACAGAAATACAGCAAAGACCTACAGGTGAATAAGTATATTGAGTTCAGAGGAAAAGAACTCTAATCCCTAGACTCTAAAGGGCTCTAATCCACTAATCCCATTACATTATTCAAAAGTAAATGGGAAAACTTCTAAGTTAGAACTGTTGTTTGCAGAAATTAATTCTGAAAAAGAAGAAACTCTTCTTAGGTGTTGCTGGATGTTGAATGAGAATTTGAAATTACCAGAATGTGCACAAACAGCTTTTGTGAGAATTCCTTAAAAAAACTCAACAAACTAGTTTACAAAACCCTTAACCTAGCAGTGTCAGATTTTCAACACAGCACTTGCTTTTGGCCTACCTGGAGCTTGCTTACACAGGGAATATCCTTTTTCCACCCCAAAATAAAAACACATGCAGAGACAGTCATTCAAAACAGCTATTCATTTTTAAATTCCCACAGTAAACTCACTCCAGGACAACTTAACATACAGGTAAGCCCTTAATACCATGGTTTATTTTCCTGGATGGTTTATTTAGCACGAATGGTTTTAACTGCTAGAAAGGTTAAAAGCCATTGTTTTGACTGAGATCATACAAAATCCCACCCAGAAAGTAATTTGTCTGGGGAGGTTAAAGTCAGTTAAGCAAAGCAGGATTAGAAGAAATGTTAATTTCAACCTGGGCTAAAGCAGGTGTTACTGGCACCTGCTTCACTGATAATTTGTGCATATGTCAGTGACTAGACACTTGGGGGGCACACAAGACAGGAGGCAAAGGTGTATTGCTGGTCAACAGTCTATCACTTAATTAATCTAGGCCCTGTGAAACAACCTGGTCATAATTTGCTAAATAGAATAGCTGCTTACAGTAGTTGAGTCATCCAAGGCATACAGCTATTAAGTCATTGACATCCTCAAAAGAAGAATTTAAATATACTTAAGATAAAATGGTGAAAAACTGCAGGATGCGCTTAAGATAAGGTCATTGCTATACACAGGCTTAAGATTTTAAAAGAGCCATTTTAACAGATTATTTTAGTAAAATTAGTATTTTAATTTATATTCAGTACTTTTTCTCATCTAATGATAGTTGAGCTTGGCTTCCCTAGTGCTTTGCAATACCAATACAATCGAGATGTTACAGGTGATGAGCCTCCTCAACTTTTATGGGAAACCAAGATAACAGGAAGACATGATTACATGATTTAAGAGTTATTCTGAATTAGTATTTCTGGATACATTTATTTTATAAATAGATATTTAAAAAGAAAAAAGGTCTAGAAGCTAAGTATTGTTATATTATGCTTAACCAAATTTAGAAGATGTCAACTTTAAGTTCAGTAGCATTTACTGCCTATGGTAACTAATAACCTCCTTTCCCTGATGCTGCCATACAGTAGCATCACCACAAATGTAATCCTTGAAATCTGTGGTTATTAACGTTTTTTTTCAAACTCTTCCAGATGATGTTGTGAGCTAAAATCTACTTTCAAATGAAACAGATCATTAATCATATGACTAAAATCCCCAATGACTTACTGTAAGTACTGTTAAAACACAGTAGGTTTATGGTAGAAATGATATTTCAAACTTAAAATTTGCATGACTAGTTAAGAGCCAAATGCAGAAGAAAAGTATTTCCAAATTCAGTAACTACTCACGTAGATGCCCAGCCCATTAAAGGGTTCTCCCAGCGCTCCCTGTTATCAAATTCCATCTTCCATTTCTTTGTATTGTTAACACCTGACTGCATTGCATTACGTGCCGGAACAAAAATGTGAACTTTCCTGGTTTTGATGTGCTCATCTGGAACACCAGTTAAAGCAGTGATATCCTGTGAAAAACACAGTGGAACTTGTTAGAAAAGGGTTCACATAAAAGGTTTGTAAAATAATATTGCTTATGTATTTTTACATAATTCCTTGCTTTATTAAGCTACAAAAAAAAAAAAGAAAAAAAAAAGAAAAAAAAAGGCTGAAAAATATGTTACGAGTTCAGTTACATAAAAGCAAAGCTAATACACACTGGGGCTTCTGTCATCCTGCTTCCCCTGGCTGAAGCAGGTTTTGCTTAGATTATTTACCTGAACCTGCTCATCTCCAGGCTACACAACTTCCTAGTGCCTGAGGACAGACAGGACATTCCCTCCCACCCTCTGACTCCAGCTGCAAAGTCAAGACTGCTCCAACCTGCACCAGCTAAAGAAAATGTGGCAATATATAAACTCTTCTTTCTCCCTTAAAGAAAATATTACGAGCATGAAATATCAACAAATCCCCAATTTTTTACTTTACCATTAGCAATCTAAACTTCATATAAACAGGTCTATTCACCAAACTCTTAGCCAGCCAACTATGTGCTGCAGTGTAAGGGCTTTCACTTGGCCTTAAGTCCGTAGATAATGAAGAGGCTCCAACATCCACACTGACATAAATAACTATGCTTAGCACGAAGAAGAGTCAACAGGTTATCTTTCACACAATATCCCAATAAGAGTGCAGAGCAGGTGCTAGAAATTAGTTTATTTCTCTGTTAGTTATTACATAAAATTAACCCCCTCATTGTGTTTCAAGCTATGCATATCAGCTTTTGAGAGTCAATTCTTCTGATGTTCAAGAGAGGAACATCTGGTACCGGTAACATTCTTCAGTATTTCTGTGAAGGACAAAAGGATTCAGGAGATCTGAAACTTCAAAGAAAAGAAAAAACAAACCCAAACCAAACCAAAAACCACAGGCATTGTAACATTGTATATAGTCAGTAGTAGGATGCTCTACCAAGGTTTGGCTTGTGAGTCCTCAACAAATAAACCTAACAAAGATAAAAACTGAAGGATCACAAAACCAGACAAAAAATATTAACTCACTTTAACAAAGAATAAGATAGGAAAAAACCTCACAAGAATTACTGTGAAAAATTACCCTGAGCAGCATCTGATATAATCAAAGTGAACTTTCTCGCTAAAAACTAAACAGTAATTACATAAAATTAACCTGTCAGTTCACCCTAGGAAAGAGTGAAATCAAACATCAAATCCATCTCTAAGGATGCTAAACTACTCCTGTTCCTTTCACACTTAAAAGGCCAGTGGGAGCTCCTTGGTCTCCCTCCTTGCCTCCCCTCCCCTTCACTCCCCTCTCCAGGAAGAGGATAGTAAACTGGTAAAAGTCCAAAAAAAACGCAGCAAAACTCTGGGCATATTGAACTCATCTCACCAGTACTGCCATGGCTTGAATTAGAAGGCAAACAAGTTTAAATAAAACACTGTGGCTTTACATGTCTGTAGCTACTAACTTTATGGGATTTTGTTTTGTGGCAAACTTAAAAGCTCTTGGTGCTGTCACCAGATCATTTTTCGAAATGAGGCAAGTCTCATTTTTTATTTTACTTCAAAAAATAAGTTTTAGGAGGTCAGTTCCTCAAAACTACACAAGGGAGAAAGTTTAAGGCGTATGACTTGTATTTGCAATTAGAACAGCAGGGGAAACAAACAAGCATGCAAGCTAATTTTCCAACTTCTGACACTTGTACCCAGACTACCAAAAGAAACTGTCAAAATATCTCAACAGTTCCATTATAAATGCTTTCATCAGGACCAAGTAATGTTTATTTTTAATATGAGTCTAGCAGTGATATGAAAAAGAACCACTACCAGTCACTGGAATGTTGCAACATGTATGTAAAACACCACCTGCCAGACTGGCATTTCTGAACTGAAGCTCAAATCACAGTGTTAGAAAGCAATAGCTTTAAGTTTTCTTACTTGAATTATCAAAGTGCTTTGTTTAATGAAAAGATTTTTACCTGCAGTAGTTTGGTGGGGCTTCAATGTTTCAGCTTGCCTGTTAACAGGAATAGGCTACTATATTACCCTTTATTTCTGTATTTAACAAACATGCTTGTTTAGAAAATGCAAGCACATTCACAAAAGATTATTTTTCCCCTCTGAAATAATCTGCTACATGCAAAAATTCTAGGCTTTTTATCATCCAATACCTCCAAATATGCAAGCTTCAAAATAGCTCAGAACGATTATTTTTTTTAGTATTATTATTCTCAGTAACTCGCATGTCCATTACGAATTTTATGCCCCAGATTTAGAGGGGTTTTAATTGCTCCAGAATTACCCGGAATTATTAAAAAAGTATTATGTTAAATATCATTATAGACATACAGAGTTTCCTCTTTTGAAGTCTCCGAGTCAGAGAATCACACCAGTACATACAGAACACAATCTAAAACCCAGCAAATACTGTACTTGTGAAGTAACTGTAGTAAAGAGAATGCTTAGACTTGTTCATCTGGATGAAAATAAAAACAAAACCGCAGACAAACTGAAAGTCCCTTCAATTCATGTTTTTTTTCAGGCACGCAGTTGGCTCCAAATCAAAGTTATTTCACTAATAATATAGGATTCATCCCATAAAAATCTTTTCAATGTGAAAATTAAAACCTGCCTGCTTTGAAAACTAAAGTATCTACATGGTATTGCTAGCCCTTCATACTTTGATTCATTATAGCTGAAGTTTCCGTGCCTTCTGGGAATCCAGCAATCATTTATTGATATCTTCCCCATTTTGAGGCTGGCAATTGAACAGACAGTTTTTAGGACAATGAGTTTCTGGTTTCTGAAGCCCAAGCTGTCCTGACAAAATCACTGGTTTTGCCTGCTGTAGACATGTAAGATACTGTAGCATAGCTGAGCTGTTGCCAAAGATATGGAATAAAAAGGCTTGGCATCTATCACATACTTGACACCTAAAGAGCACAGAAGCTCTAAAATTCCTATTCCCTGTAGGCGCACTCTTAGTCTAGACAAACTGATTTCTCACACTTTTAAAACGCATTACAACACTCTATTGTGATCATTTCATCCACACAGCTCCAGCTAGTGACAGAAGAACCTGTCCTTTAAGCGACATTTCAATGGGCTAAAGCTCCCGCTCTAAGATGCCATTAAAACAACATAATACTTGAAAAGAACTATGCTGCACTGGGTTGAACTCTTTACTGGGTCTTCAGTTCTTTGTTCTGAGTTCAAGTTCTCATTGAAACTACCTGTGAACCAACTTTCCAAAACAAAGATGTTTTTGACAGCTAGTTTCACATTACTATCTCTTTTAAGTGTTCCATACTGAATTTTGCAATATTAGCATATTAAAGTATTAGTGAGGTGTTCAGCATTCACAAGTCTAAATAATAAGGTGACATTATAAAAGGCTTGAGATTTGAACTGTATAGGTTTGCTTTACTAAAAATTAACAACCTGCTTCACATTTTTAACACAGCCTATCATCTAAAAGGTGCATTTTAACATTCCATTTTTCTTAATATACAGAGGGGAAGATTCAATAGCAGCCTATTGTTCTTATTTTTATTTTTAATTAAAATACCCATTTTGAGGCACTTTGGCTCTTCTTAGAATAAGCTAAGAGGGTCAAACCACTTTTTTTTTTTTTTAAATAGCAGAAATTGCATTAAATTGCTTACAAAAGAAGAGGAGGTTTTGTCTTTATTATAACTTACACTATTTAAGAACACTTGTCATACTGGAAAGCCTTGTAAAACTGTTCTGGAAAGAGTAATATGATGTATGTGCTATTCAGCAGGGAA